AACTGTCTTGGTGGAAGACAACCGTTTGAAGATCCTGAAGCATGCCGAAACATTGTTCTCGGGATTTCAATGCAACGTATCAACCTGACTGCTGCGTTTCGACGATCCGGAATCGTGGCATAGCGCCATTTTGGGGATTTCAACACCGCGGATCAACATAAAGGATGAGGAGGAGGAGGAGGAGGAGGAGGAGGAGGAGGAGGAGGAGGAGGAGGAGGAGGAGGAGGAGGAGGAGGAGGAGGAGGAGGAAGAGGGTGAGGAGGAGGAGGAGGAGGGGAGGAGGAGGAGGAAGGGAGGAGGAGGAGGAGGAGGAGGAGGAGGAGGAGGAGGAGGAGGAGGAGGAGGAGGAGGAGGAGGAGGAGGAGGAGGAGGAGGAGGAGGAGGAGGGGAGGAGGAGGAGGAGGAGGAGGAGGAGGAGGAGGAGGAGGAGGAGGAGGAGGAGGAGGAGGAGGAGGAGGAGGAGGAGGAGGAGGAGGAGGAGGAGGAGGAGGAGGAGGAGGAGGAGGAGGAGGAGGAGGAGGAGGATGGAGGAGGAGGAGGAGGAAGCGGAGGAGGCGGAGGCGGAGGCGAGGCGGAGGAGGAGGAGGAAGAGGAGGAGGAGGAGGAGGAGGAGGAGGAGGAGGAGGAGGAGGAGGAGGAGGAGGAGGAGGAGGAGGAGGAGGAGGAGGAGGAGGAGGAGGAGGCGGAGGAGGAGGAGGAGGAGGAGGAGGAGGCGGATGAGGAGGAGGCGCAGGCGGAGGCGGAGGCGGAGGCGGCCGCGGCGACGGCGGCGGCGGCGGCGGCGGCGGCGGCGGCGGCGGCGGCGGCGGCGGAGGAGGAGGAGGAGGAGGAGGAGGAGGAGGAGGAGGAGGAGGAGGAGGAGAAGGATGAGGAAAAAGGGTAAGGCCTAGGAGGAGTAGGAGTAGGAGGAGGAGGAGGTGGAGGAGGAGGAAGTCTAATTGGGCAATGCCCTTCGTCTTCGGCGTGCGCTGGCCTTGTGTCGATGTGCCGTGCGCGCCCCGTTGGGCTCGGAGGCAGATTTCTGCGAAGAAGTCTTGCTGCTGTTGCTGTCCGTTCCATTCGGGACAGGACCTGGTGGTCGAGGGAGCGAGGGACCGACTTTCTCTTCCTCGGCGGGAGCCAGCAGACGCCCTGCCCGAGCAGGAGGGAGCAGAGGGAGGCCAGCCCCCGCAGGCGGCAGCGATGCGGAAGCCTGAACGTCTCAGAATAGTTCAGAGCTTCCGGATGTTGTGTCTTCGAAGAAAATGAAAGCACTGCTTTCGGAGTTCCCCATTTCTTGGATCTGAAGCCCCCTGGCGGCGTATCCGGCGCCGCCTCTGGCGCCCTCCGCGCGCCAGGGAGGGGGATCCAGTCCCAATCCCAAAAATGTGCGCGGACCGCCGAAAGTTTATGCTGTGCAGTTTTTTTGTTCCTGCAGTGCTGGCTCGCTGGTCCAGGCCCGCACTTGGTGCACTGCCGCACTTGGTGCACTGTTCGACGCGCTTCAGACGCCTAGTCCTCTTCAAGGCCAGGAGCGGCTGCGGCAAGGCAGCAGGGGCGCTCGAGTTGGTCTGCTACCATAGCTACAACTGAAAAACTATTGGCACTCCGCAACTTTCTGTGAGAGATGATCTTTGTATCCCGTACTCAATTCGAGCTGTAGGCTAGCTGCGGAGCTCATATATACACCAATCGACCAGACATGCTGATAAGCGCTAGTCTAAAAGCGTTGAGACGGCTGAGATCGGTCTGCTACCACGCAGCCCGCGGACGTTAGCGCCGGGGGTCCTGCATAGCGCCATCCTGGCCACGAAGCTGTCTGCACAGGAAGGTCGATGCGCACTCGGTGGGGCGCGGGGGGGCGCGGTGTCGGCAGGAGGAGCTGCTCGAGTTTCGGGAGAGGCCGGGAGGAACAAACAAGAAAAAACAGGGGGGAGGAGGAGGAGGAGGAGGAGGAGGAGAAGGAGGAGGAGGAGGAGGAGGAGGAGGAGGAGGAGGAGGAGGAAGGGGAGAGGAGGAACAGAAGGAGGAGGAGGAATCGGCAAGAGGAGCTGCTTGAGTTTGCTGCAAGAGGCAAGGGAACATAACATAAATAATAATAATAACAAGAACGTCCGAGCCCGCGAGACCTCTACAACGCAGCCTCTACGCGCTGTGTCCACTGCCGCGGTGCCTGGGCGCGGCAGCGGAGGCCGGAGCCCAAAAACACACACAGGTGGCGAGGCGAGCGCGGGCTGCGGACTCGAGTGGCGCGAACTTGTCGACCACCAGCACTGTCCTGACAGTGATCGAAGGGGAGCAAGAGCATCGGGGAGTTCACCAGGCTCCTCGCAGAGTTGGAAGGACGAGTAGCCTTCAGGTCGGCGGGTGCTCGAACAGCATCAGATTCACGGGCACCTCAAGTGCTCCTTCTCACCGCCCACCAAACAACCCCAACCCAACCCGAAGGCCCCGATTTGCCCTCCATTTCCAGTTGGGGGGTGTCGGAGAACATTGAAAAAACACGTGTGGAACCCGTACCCCCCAAACCCGAAATTCGGGTCTTCGGATTATGTTGGGGTGGTCTGCTGGTAGGTCGTCACCTTCTGCTCCGTGGAATTGTCTTGCAGCCTATATTTCAACTCGTGTGCAGAAGCCCTCTCTCGTACCGGCGTCGGCAACTGTATCGTCTTCTTCTGCGCACCTCTCCTCGCCCGAGGCCACCACTGCTGCAATATCCTTCCTGTGTGTGTGTGTGTGCGACGCGGTCGGCTTCCTCGAACCGATTGATGAGCTGGTGGTCGTGCATGCGTGCGCCTGTCGCGGGTCCACGCCAGGGTCGATCGCCTCGTGCTGCGAGTGCAGACGCCCACGGATGTCCTCCTTTGCCGCCGCCCCCCTCCCGCTTTGCCCCTCCGACGAGTCCGCGCAGCGGGTGGCGCAGATGGCCCGGCCCCAGACGGCGGAGCACCGCGTGCAGCAGCCGACGTGCCGCACCTCTCTCCGCAGGCTCGGCTTCCTGCCGGGGCCAGTTGCCATCAGAGGCCCAGTCCGGCGCGGACGGCCGGCCAGGACCCAGAAGCAAGCGCGGGCAGGACCCCCCCCCCCAAGGGCAGCCCGTGCGAGAGCGGCCGCACCTCGAGGAGAGGCGGGCGCCCGCCTCGACCGCCAGCGGGGGGGTGGGCTTCTTCGGCCAGGTGCACGGCGGAGAGGCTCGAGAAGCGTCGGCGCGAGGCGGATGATGACCGAGACGGTGACCGTCACCCGGGGCGACCGCCCGAGACGTCGGGGATTGCGGGCAGCCCCAGGGCGGCCAGGGCAGAGGTCCTCCAGATTGAGGTGGATGCGGTCCCGCAACCTCGACTGGGAGGGCTCCCGCCGGGCGGGCTCCGATTGCGCGAGCTTCCCGCGTCCGCTGGCAGGAGCTGCCTCTGAGGTATGTTCTCTTGGACTTCTAATGTCCTTGAGCCCGCCTCCCTACTCCCGGCTGCCCCCAGCCTTCTTCTGTCTTGCTTTGCGTGCGGTCTGTGTGCCGTATCGCTGGCCACCGATGCCAGGGGAGATAATTACACTGGCGCAGGTGTCAGAGTGTCGGTTTGCCTGTCTAGACTGTCTACCCGGCCTCGCTCGAAGCTGGCTTGTGGGCCGCGAGTGTCCTCCCTCCTGTTCGTCCTTCCTCCTTCCCTCCCTCCCTCCCTCCCTTCCGCGTCTTTTTCGGCGCGTCTCCTTCGGGGTTGCTATCGGGAAGGCCTTACGGCCGGCGCCGTCGACCCTGAAGGGGGACGACGTCGACGCCGGCAACGAGGCGACGCTGACGCTCTGGAGCTCTTCTTGGGGCTCTCTTGGGATGTTGGGCTCTGTTGGGGGGCCTCACTTGGGGGACTTCTGGGGAAGCTCAGTGGCCACTTGGAGCCGCTGCCTCGGAGCAGATCCGAGGCCTCCAGGAGGCATGTGGAAAAACACGCAGCACCCCGCAACAGCCGAGAAGAGTGAGGAGGGTGCCTTCGGTGGGGTGGCCACTTGTCCACAGGGGGGAGGTGGGTGGAGGGGTTCTGAGTTCCCCTTGTCCACAAGGGACCCCCCCCCGGTCCACCTTGTCCACAGGGGGACCTCCCCGGGGGAGAGGTCACGATCCCAGGGCCCTCCCGGGGACCCCTCTCAGGGACCCCTCCCGGGGACCCCTCCAAGGACCCCTCCCCCACGGGACCCCTCCCTGGACCCCCCTACCCATGGAACCCCGTCGGACCCTCCCCCCCAGCTACCCCGCTCCCCCCGCCTGCAGGGTTGGGGCGGCTTCCCGTCGAATCAAGCACGACGCTGTTTGAGGTCCGTCTGCCTGGATCGCCTGCGGAGGAGGGCCGAGCCCATGGAAAGAGGGGGGAAGCGGCGACGGTGACGACGGCTCCAACTGCAAGTGCCTCACACATTCGCCGACGGGGTCGGCGGTTTTTCGGGTGTATTGCCACCGCCTGGCCGCTCGTTGCTCGTGAACGTGTGGGCTTGTGTGGTGATGCACGGAACGTGCAGGGGTCGAAAGGTACGAACGCCAAGTTTGCGGGCCTTTGTGCTTCCCTCCTCCCTCCTCCTCCCTCCTCCCTCCTCTCCTCCTTTCCTCCTCCTCCTCCTCCTCCTCCTCCTCCTCCTTGTGCTCATTTTCGGCAGAACTATTCAGTTCTGTAGTTGTTTTGTTGTTTTTGCTGCTTTTTTGTGCTCCTCTCTCTATATATCTCTCCCTCTCTGTCTTTCTCTCTCTCTCTCTCTCTCTTCCTATCTCTCTCTCTCTCTTTTCCCCTTTCTTTTTCCTCCCAGAGGTTGGCCACTGCAGGCCCCCTCTGGGCCTCGAAGCCTGCCAGGGGTGCCTGTGATGAGTCCGCCGCCAGTGCATCGCAGGCTGGGTTGGCGAGGGCGACGTGGACCCAGCCGAGACATTTGTTTCGGTGTTGGTTCGTGTCGTGCGTGCGGGCGAGGCGGATCTGCGCGGGGGCGACGATGTGTCTGCGGCTGGGGCAATGTCGGGCAACGTGTTTGGGTTCCCGTCCCGCTGGGTCACGAACGAATGGGAGTTGTCCTGTGGTCGTCCAGGGGGCCGTCCCGTGGGTTGCCCCGTGGGTTGTCCCGTGCGTGCGTTGTTCTGTTGTGCTCGTTGTCCCATGGTTCTCCCGTTGTTGTCCCGTGGATTGTCCCATAGGGCGTTCCATTGTTGTCCCGTGGGTTAGCCCGTGCTTTGTCACCTGGGCTGCCCCATGGGGTGTCCCGTGGTTGTTGTCCCGTTGGTCGTCCCGTGTGTTTCCCCGTCGGTTGTCCTGTGAGTTGTCCCGTGGGTTGCCCCGTGAGTTATCCCGTGGGTTGCTCCGTTGATGTCTAGTGAGTTGCCCCGTGTGTTGTCCCAGAAGTTGTTTTGTGGGTTGTCCTGCGGTTGTCCCGTGGGTTGTCCCGCACGTCGTTGCTTGTTTGACGCGTAGGTTGTCCTGCGTTTATCATATGCGCTGTCCACTGATTGTCGCGCGAGTTTTCTCGCGGGTTTTCAAATGGATTGTCCCGTGGGTTGTCCCATGGGTTGTGCGTTGTCCCGCGGTTGTTCCTTGGGTTGTCCCGTGGGTTGTCCCGCGGGTTTGCCCAGACATCTTGCACATATAGCTCGTTGCACCTACCACACCAGAGGGTTCATTTACCAGATTCCCTTGGCAGCCGGAGTGTGGATCACTTCAGGCATACAACATTTTCCGGCCATTCGCTGCGTAGGAAAAACGTTTCACACAGTATCGAGGGTGGCCGACACGATTTGCTGTCCGCTGTGTTGTTCTGGCCGGACCTCGGGGTCCACCTCACCGGCACAGTGAGGCTGAGTGGGTCGGCGTCCTTTTGGTTGGAAACAACTGGACAGCTCGTTGCATCTTACTCCCCAAAAATCACACGCCGCAGTGACTATCGAAAGTGATCCACATGCAAATCCAAGTGCAGTTGGAATGCACCTCGAAGTGCACACCAAGCTGCAGATCGAAGTGCAAGTTCCTCACCCCGTTACACGTCGGTCGTAAGAAGTATGTAAAAACATGAAGCAGGAAGGCGGATTCAGTTGATTGGGTCCGGGCCCCCCCAGAGATTGACAACACACAGCACAAGCGTGCCGATTTTTGAAGTGGGAAGGCGCCTGAAGTAGAATTGGGATCTGGGGATCCAGAAATACCTACTTTCCAACGACCGGTGTCACCTCCTGATCGCCCGAGGGGTGGACTTAGCACCCTTTGCGGACGTCCTCCGCCTCGGGAGGCGCATCCCCAGGGCAGGGCTCGAGCCGAACGGTGTTCTGAGGATCTCGCGGGCCGTTCCCACGTTGCCTTCGCCTGGCGGCGACGGCGCACCGAAACCCGAGCGAGGGACAACGAAAACATACCCCAGATCCTTCAATAAGCCCCCTCCCCATGCCAACCTGTCCGACGGCCCTTGCCCGCCCCCCGACGCTCCCCGAACCCACTCCCTCTCGCTCCCCCTTTTCCCCACGCCCCCCGAAGGACAGCGGTTTCCTACACCCACAACGCGATATACCCCGCCACGCTTATTGAGAGACCTGGAGTAAATGGAAACGGAGAACACTATTGGGAAGGCTTAGCGGCTGGTGCAGCTGACCCTGAAGGGGGACGTCGACGACGGCGGCGGCGGCGTCGGCGGCAGCGGCGACGACGCTGCTGCTCTGGAGCCCTTCTTGGGGCTCTTTTTGGGAGCCTCTTGGGCTCTGGTTGGGGCTCGGGCTGGGGCCAGGGCCAGGGCCAGGGCCAGGGCCGAGGCCGAGGCCGAGGCTGGGGCCGCGGTCGGGGCTGGCGGGAACGGAACACACCATTTGGGTCGAGCCCCGCCCCGGGTTCCCACGGCGCAGCGGAGCCGAACCACCTTTCGGTCCCTCGGGCCAGGGGCACAGACCCTCCGGAGCACGCGATCTCTTCGCTCTTGCAGCGGCCAGGGACGCAACGGGCCGGTGCCTCTAAGGCAAGGAGCTCCAGAGAGAGCGCAGGGAGAAGCTGCTCGAGCTGCGGCCAGGCTCTCAGGGGCGAGGGGCACCGGCCCCCCTGCTGTCGTGCTCCTCCGGAACGGCGAGGAGCGCTCCCCTTCGGCCCTCCTCCTGCTGATCCTGGCTCGCCTGCCAGTCTTAGCCCAGCAGCCTCATGAGTTCTCGGCCTGCCTCTGGCACTTGGTGTCTTCCTTCTACTTCGTCCTCTTCCCTATTTCTCCTCCTCCTCCTCCTCTTCTTTCCCAGTCTCCTCAGTCTCCCCTTTCGCCTCCTCCTCCTCCTCCTCCTTCTCCTCCTCCTCCTCCTCCTTCTCCTCCTCCTCCTCCTCCTCCTCTCCTCCTCCTCCTCCTCCTCCTCCTCCTCCTCCTCCCTCCTCCTCCTCCTCCTCCTCCTCCTTCTCCTCCTCCTCCTCCTCCTCGTCCCCCTCACTCGAATAGGAGCACGCGTGCGCGCCCGCTGCCATTTTGGCTTACAGAGTGCACGCGGAAGAACGTTTATTGAAGGGCGGCGTATTTACGCATTGCTATCTCTCACGTCACCATTGCCGCCATGTCTTCTACCTTTGACGGCTGACACTCGCAATTCCAGTTGGTAGCGGAGCTGGTGTGAGCCAGCTCTAGCACGGATCCGCGGGCTGCGCAGAGTGCGATGTGGACGCAAATTTGCATTTCCCCCCAATTCTTCAACGCTGGCAATCTCAATTCCTTGAACAGCTTGTGCTTGTTGCTGTTCTGCAGCCCCGCGGATTATTCGCCCTAGGCACTCAAAGGTATGATGCTGCCAACGCCAGACCGTGTGAGTCCCTGTGCGGGCCCGGCTGCAGGGGCAACAGCAGCTGATGGTTACGTGCAGGTCACCTGCCCCCATGGCCGCCACGACGCCCAGGTTTACTCACACCCGCCCAGGGCTGGCCGCGGAACGCAGTCCCTTGCGCTGGTTCGCATGCTTGGGCCAGTACTTGGACTCGTGCAGTGCACACTCCTGCTGGTCCACATTTTGGTGAGCACGCTGCGCACCCCGAGTGACGCACTATTGGTTCATGTACCTGTTTCGTTACCCTTAGCACCGACTCAGGGCCACAGCGCCGCAACGGCTGTGCCAACTTTCAAGTTGGCGTCCGTCCCTGTGCAGGCCTGAGCCCCAAGGTGCCTGCACACCTCCGTTCGTGGCGAAGTCTCTCTGAGGAGGCACGCCATCTTGGCGCACGGGGAGCACCTCATCAACAACATCTTCAACATCAGCGCACTCTTGGCTTGCATGCGTTTGGCTCCTCGCGCCAGGTGTGCGCGTTGACGCGCCACCCTCGCGCGAGGCTGCGCGCGCGGTGCCACCTGGGTGCGTATCTCCGTGCCCGCACGAGTCAGCTCGTGGCATCCGCGATGGCGCGGGCTTTGGAATTATTTGAACAAGCAGTGGATTCATGCCACCATCTTGGATGCTTCGAGGTGCATGAAAGTCGAGGACGTCCTCCAGTCTGTCTAGCGGCAACGGCCAGCTGGAACCAGGAACTGCGACAGCCTCTGGACTGGCCGCAGCCGCACGACTGGCTGAGACCAGATGCCGATCCACACATTCGTCAACCTACATCTGGGCTCGGTGCCGCCACGCAGCGCGAGCCTGGATCACGACAGCCCTTCCAGTCACGCACCTGCGCGCGCGAGGACGCGCGCGCGCGGCGAGACCTCTAGGAGCGCAGGCCTGTTACGCTGGGAGCGTGCACCACCGAACTCCTCGCACAGGCCGGCACGCGAGGCGTCGCTCGAGCGTCCGATCCCCTGCGGGTGCAAGCCGCGCGCGCGACGGGCGCTGGGTGCGCGGCGGCCTGAGCGTCGGCGGCGTCCGCGCATCGGCCGCCAGTTGACGTCCCAACCGCGCTCGCGTCTCCATGCTGCATCTCATATCTGGGCTTGCTTGTGCTGCAACCGTCTTGCAAGATTCTCTTCCACGCCCTGCTCGGACAACTGTCCGGCCACGGGGCCGCCAGCTTTCCGGGCGTGGTCCACGCCGCCCACCCGCCCAGGGCCGCGGACCTGCGCGACGGGCCCGTGCCCTCGGACTCCGCCGAGCAGCGGTTGCGCTGTCAGTGGATAGGACGAAGCTCGAGATCGGCTACGTGTTCTCTCCGTGCGCGTCGATGTTCGAGAGCGCCGCGACGACAGCGCGGCAGGCCTCGACCCACGCCCTGAACAGGCCGATCACACCCACTGACAGTTGATCCACATCCATGCCAATCCGTGCAAGACGAATCTAAGCAAACAGCCAGAGCATCGCAAGGTGCTCTGGTACCCAATTTGCACCTGCTCAGGCGGATACGGCCAGACTGAGCAGCAGCATCATCCATGCGACTCATTCCTCCGAGGCCACGCGCGCAAGGCCGCCGGCCCCAGCGCCCGCAGGGAAGCCTCCAACTGCATAAACGCAACCACGGAGGCCCAGCGAAGGCGATCAGTCGCCTTGGTTCCTTGATCCCCTCACTCGCAAGCCGTCCAGGGCCCAACCTGCAGGCATGTGGCAGAGCTGCAGTGCGCAAGCCAGTTCCGACTTTAATTTCCTTGTCGCTCAGCCTTGCCGCGCGGAAGTGACGACACAGCCAAACGTGGCGCGCTACAGTATTTGCACTTAGCGGATACACACTGGCACGTTCAGTGGAAGGGCGCGTATGTTTGCACCAGACACGCAAGTTGCCACACTTCGTTGCGACTCTGTCAAGAGGCACGCGGCCACACTTCGTTGCGACTCGCGGCCCTAACCTCACGCACCCTGGGACAGCCCCGTTACCAAACATGCATGTCGTTCACGCTCGTGCAGACGACAATCTCGCTGCACTCCAATGTGCCTCGCCCATCCGTCCACCGTGTTCCACGTCAGCTGTTGCCATTCGCGCGCGCAGAGCGCCGCAGCCGCCCACACCTGTATGCAGTACCCGGCCCACGAAGCGTGCAGGGCGGACTGCCAGACGTCTCATGAAACATGGTAGCCCTAGGCCTCCCAGGTGGGGTCGGAGTAGATGGGGTTGGAGGATCGCTCCGCATCGCCGATGCATCGGCGATGCGGCTCGATGTGGAGCCCGAGTTTCTCCACGCCGACGTCGCCGATGCATCGCCGACGTCGACGATGCATCGCCGGTGCGTCACCGATGCATCGCCGGTGCATCGCCGATGCATCGGCGATGCGGAGCGATCCTCCGACCTCATCTACGCCGACCCCATCTGGGAGGCCTCTAGCAGCAGCGGGCATGCTCGAGCAGCAGGGCACCACGGCGAGCCCTGCTCCCAGACTCGCGCCTAGAACGCCTCTGCAGGTTCCAGCATCATGTGACGGGCCTCGGCGAGGAACAGCACTCCGAGGAGCACTGCAGCTCAGCACAGGACGCCCAGCAGGAGACGTCACAATCAACACACCAGGGAGTGCGCCGGCTCACAAGTGCGCGCATCACCTACATATAGTATCAGCCAAGGTGTGCGTGCGTGCATGCGCGCGCAACGCCCAGCTCGCGGCTTAAGTCCGAGCTGCACCACGAGCGGCGCCCGCGCCATCAGCTGCCAGGCAGATGGGTGCATCCATTGCGCCCCTCCTGGCCAGCGACCTCGGGGCCCGCCGCCGGGAACGGGAACACCTCGGCTTGCTCGCGTTCGGCTTCCACCGCGGCAGCACCAATCGGCGCGGCAGCCACCGTGTTCTACAGAGGCTCGGCCAAGGTGACGTCACCAGATCGCGCGGGAGCCACCGCGCAGACGACCACAACGGAGCATGCTCGCGTGATTCAGCTTGTGCACTCCCTCCGTGATGACTGCCTGCAATTTTGCCATGGCCAGCCTCCAACGCAGGTGCACGCGGCCGTAGGGACTGGCTTTAGCCCCATAGCCTACCAAAACACGCAGTCGCTCCACGAGGTCACCAACGATGTCTGCTCCAGCACCCTCAACGATGCCGATGAGGTGGACATGTCCACGATCATGTCCAAGCGCTTCCAGGCCCGGCCTCCTGTTCGAGCTAACCCGTACGAGTGCGACGATGACGTGAGGGCTCGAGTGTGGTAGCATGATGGTCCAGCCCTCCCACGCATTGAGGGTCTGATCAACGTTCAGAGCTACAGCATGATGCACGCCTTTAGCTTGCAGGACTACAGGAGCGAAGCACATTGCTTCTGCCTCGACGCACACGCGTGCTGTGCGACGCACGCTGGGGTACGTCTGTGCCCAGTGGTGCGTTTGCACAGTGCTTCAGGTGCGGGTGCGGCCTCCACGCCACCGTTGCAGCCAATCTTGCAGCACCAGCCTCTCTGGTGCTGGACGCCAGGCACGTGACCGGATCACTTCAGGCATGCACCCATTCGTCGGCGGACTGGCCTTGCGTGCAGCACGTGGCAGCGGCGGCAGGTCCGACAAGCGCACCCGGCACGTGGCGCCTGCCTTAATGACTACCCGCTCAAAGTGCCAAGTAGCCGAACACGATCACGAGTCGCGCACACACGTACGTGGCGGTGCAGGCAGCTAGCCCATCGGCACCCTGGAATCACTGCGTGGCGCCATGCCGCCTCCGCCTTTGGTACTTCAAGAACGTGTCCATGCGCCTGCGGCCCATCGCGCAGCGTGCTGGCAGCGATTTCGCTTCCGATGGGGAGGTCCCCTACCCTTTTCCTGCTGATCAGTGCTCGACCCATCAAGCACAACGAGCACTTCACAGCATTTGTTTCCAAGAAGGGCCCCAGACGAAGCCAACCGCACTTTACGCACCACCTGTGCACAACTCCTGCAAAAGCCGCTCCTTTCAGACGACGGTGGCCGAGTGCCCAGTCCGCTGCGTGCACTCAGACGTGCGCACCGCACGCTGCGGGGACGCGCCGCCATGGCCGCCAGGGCAGCGCGCGGCACGATCGGCCACGGACGTGCCGCGCCTGCCCAGAGCTTCCACAGAGCGCTGGCAAGGCGGGCCTCACGGACGGCCTGGGGTGCTGGCGGGGCCCCGTCTCCAAACGGACCGCCGGCCGAGCAACCCGGGAGTCACGAGGTTGCCCGGAGCCTCTTGGCGACCGGAGTCGGAGATCGAGGACGCGGCCATCCCCGTTGACGACAAAGGGCAAGACCAGGAACTTGAGCGAGGACGAGCTCATCCGCGGCGAGCGCCTGTACAGCGTTGCCTGCGGCGCCTGCCGCGATAGCGGCGTCGCCCACGCCAACCAGAGCGTCGGCCTGGTCATCGAGGAGCTGGCCGACGCTTTCCCGCCGCGGAACATCATGGACCCATGTGTGGTCGACTACGTCAACGCCCCGACCACGCACGATGACCTGAACAACATCTCAGAGGCGCACCCGTCCATCATTGTCTCGGACCTGTGGCCCGAGATGCCCTCCATGCAGCAGCAGCAGGACCTTTGTGGCACCTCGGCCTTCATTCTGTACTCGAACTGCGTCGCTCTGGAGCCTGGCTGGCACCGACCGGCGGCGTGCATTCCGCCAATCCCCAGACCGACGACGGGGCCAAGGCGACCGCTGGCCGACAGTCGTCAGCAGCAAGGTCCAGCGGCCCGCAGCGCAGTGCCGCGAACCACTGGATAAGCTTTGCCGTCGCGCTCGTCAAGACCGGCGCGGGGAAGCTCCACAGATGCACATGAACATAGTTGCATTGCTGGCCCCAGGCGCCGCTGCGACTAGCCACGCCCACCGGCACCAGCACGCGAAGGAGCGCCGAGGGCGGACACCTGTGCCAGCAAGGGGCGGCGCGAAGATGCTTGGAACCAACTTGTCCATACGGCACGCATCATTGATGCGGCTCGAGCGCACGCCTGCACGATCTGTGCTGGGCCCCCACGGGCAGTGCCCTGCTCCCGGCTGTCAGGCAACATCGGCTGGCCGACGCCACATCGGGGTATGGGGCTTGTCCTTGGGCTGTCCTTGCTACGGGGCACCATTACGATCCACGACCCTGGTCGAGGTCAGCTCATCCCAGGTATAAGTTGACCACAGACGAGCCGACAGGGCTCCCCAGGGTTCACGACGTTCCGTTCGAGTTGAAGCGCCTGAGCCATGGGTGAGCTGTGCCGAGCGTCCACTGCATAGGCCTCGCGGTAAAATCTCTGGCACCTCATTGCGAGTGGTCCTCTGTGGCCGAAGAGTTACGGAGGGACATTCCCCATTGCCAGGTATCCCCAATTCAAACAGGAGCACTTGTGCGCGCCCGCTGCCATTCTGGCTTACAGCGTGCACGCGGTATACCATGAAATGAAGGGACAATCATTTACGTTTTGCTATATCGGTTGCCTCTATCGCCATCTCCTCTACCTTTCCCTCCTCCCTCCTCCCTCCTCCCTCCTCCCTCCTCCCTCCTCTACCTCGCCCGCAATTCCAGTCCCTCCTCCCTCCTCCCTCCTCCCTCCTCCCTCCTCCCTCCTCCCTCCTCCCTCCTCCCTCCCTCCTCCCTCCTCCTCCCCTCCTCCCTCCTCCCTCCCTCCTCCTCCTCCCTCCTCCTCCCTCCTCCCTCCCTCCTCCCTCCCTCCTCCTCCTCCTCTCTCCTCCTCCCTCCTCCTCCTCCTCCTCCTCCTCCTCCTCCTCCTCCTCCTCCTCCTCCTCCTCCTCCTCCTCCTCCTCCCCCCCAGGAGCGACAAGTCGGTGACGCCCGCGGCGCCCGCGCCCACCGCTGCGTGGGCCGAGGAGGCCGCGACCACAGAGGGCGCGGTCTCCGAGGCGGCTAGGCGGCGGTCGCTATCCCAGGGCCTGCGAGGCCCCAGCGCCCAGGCTGCCACGCCAGAGGGCCGCGGTGCCTGCAGTAGGGAGGTCGTGCACGCCCACGTGGAGGCTTTCCACCGCGACGCCGTGCGCCGGGAGGCCTGGAAGCAGAAGTTCGACTTCCTCTACCGGCAGGTGAACCAGGATCGGCCGGCATCGCCCGAGCACGCTGATGCTGTGTGTGTGTGTGTGTGTGTGTGTGTGCGCTGGCCCTCTCAGGGCGACGCGCGCGCTCTCCGAGATCTTGCAGTGTGCGCTCGGTGGCGGGCGCTCTCTGGCCGTGCCACCCGGGGAACGATCTGCGATGGGATGGCCATGAGGTTCTCTGTGCAGTCTGGTCGGTTTGGGCGCGCGCGCTTCGTCCTTCTGCGTTCGACGGGAGTCGGGCGCACGCCAACATTCAGGAGGGAGAAAAACACACTGGCACAATGAATCGTCGACTCCCCAGAAAATATAGGAAATATGGGAAGTGGGGGGGAAGACAAAAATCCAGAAAATATGAGAAAATATGGGGAATATTTTTATTTGTGTGTATTTCTTTGTGTGTCCTGGGGCCCCTTCAAACCTACGCGTCGCTCGTCTATCTTTGCGCTTCCTCGAAGGAGGTCCTCGAAGAAACGAACGAGGGTAACGTGCAGAACACCACCTCCGTCGGCGCGGGCAGCTCGCTGGGCCCGGCGTCCATATCGCTGTCACCGCGCTCTCGCGCCTCCCGCGGCACCGCCTCCGGGCGCGCCTCTCGCGGCCGCTCCGCCAACGCGCCGCCGCGGGCCGCCTTCGCGGCGCTGGCCGCGGCGGCGGCCGCGGAGTTTCCGGAGGTTCACGGGAGGAGAAGGCACCGATACCGCTACCCTTCCCTCGTTTTCGCATTTGTGGGCCCCCTGGAAGTTTTCGTCGCCACGGCTGGATTCGCCTTGCAATTCTGGTCAGAACGCACTCCTGGGAAGCTCTGGGGAGTAGCGGTATCGGTACTCTATAGATCCCCCCGAACGACGCCAACCGTTTGCCAGACCCCCGACGCTGTGATTTTTTCGCATCGTGGACCCCTAGAAGCCTCGACCCCAGAAGCCTCGACCTATTCTCAGAGACCAGTTTGTTTTTGACGGTCACGGAGCCTGGTGAGGGCCCCTGGAGGCCCCAAACGAGCAAAAACCTCACGTCAGAGGGAGTCTTGTCACGACGGGGAGGAGAGGAGGAGCAGGAGGAGGAGGAGGAGGAGAAGGAGGAGGAGGAGGAAGAGGAGGAGGAGGAGGAGGAGAAGGAGGAGGAGGAGGAGGACCAGTGTAAACCCAAGACTCATCAACGATGGTGGAATCAACGCTCCTTCCTAGCTCGCTCTTCGTAGGCCCCTACTGAGGGAAGTGCCCCGTTGGGAGACAGCCGCTGTAAGATCCTGAAGCGTTCCAAAACACCATTCTCGGGACTCGGACGCCACATATCAACCTGACTGTTGCCCTGACGATCCTGGGTCGCACCAGAACTGCATTCCTGGGACTTCAACACCGCGAATCAACGTAATTGTTGGTTGCGCCCTAACAGTCCCGAGTCGTTCCAAACAGATGTTTCTGATTCGTTAACTATGGTAACCCGCGAAACTCTTTCAGTTTTTGTAAGCGAATGTGCACGGCGCTCAGACGAGAGCCACATTTTGAAAAAGGAGCTGCCCTCAATCTTTTATGTTTTTGTAGATTTTTAAATCGAGAGTGCGCGGCGCTAAGGCGAGAGCTACATTTTGAAAATGAGCCGCCCTCAATCCGTGAAACTCTGGCACTGTTTCAGACGTGTGTGCGCGGCGCTAAGGCGAGAGCAACATTTTGAAAGCCGCCCGCCTTCAATCCGTGAAATTTTACCAACTTGGAAGCTACGCTTCAGGGTCAAAAGTGGTGAGGATCTCTCAGGCGAAATGCCCGGCCCGCCCTTTCGACTGGCCCCGGGGTGCGACAGGGAGGAGTCATTTATAACGAAAAGGAGCGGAGGAGGAGGAGGAGGAGGCGGAGGAGGAGGAGGAGGAGGAGGAGGAGGAGGAGGAGGAGGAGGAGGCGAAGGAGGCGAAGGCGGAGGAAGCCAGCCGGAATCGCCACAAAAGGCCGATCTTTCCACGACTCGAGGGAGTCTGGCGTCCTCTGGCGAGGTGACGCTGAAGCCGCAGGAGCCCGCCGCGGCCCCGGCAGCCGCTCCGGAGGCGGTGCCCGTGGGCGACCTGGGCGCCGCTGGCGCGGCCGCCGCCGCGCGCGACGCGAGGCCGACGGCGGCGCCGAACGGCGCCTGGCGGCGCACTGGCGGCTGCCGCGACGCCCGCAGCGGGCGGGGCGGCCCGCGGCGCAGGCCGCCGCCCGCCCGCGAGGCTCGGGGAAGAAGAAATCTGGCACGAGCATACGTCGGGGGCAGCCGTGGGGGGGCATGGGCTCAGGGGGGGACGCATCGGCCCCCAATCGCCCATTCATTGCCGACCAGGGCCCGATTTCCCAAAGTTCGAGACAGCAAGGCCCACCTGAGCCTGGGACGGCTAGGAGGAGGAGGAGGAGGAGGAGGAGGAGGAGGAGGAGGAGGAGGAGGAGGAGGAGGAGGAGGAGGAGGAGGAGGAGGAGCCAGGAGGAGGAGGAGGAGGAGGAGGAGGAGGAGGAGGAGGAGGAGGAGGAGGAGGAGGAGGAGGAGGAGGAGGAGGAGGAGGAGGAGGAGGAGGAGGAGGAGGAGGAGGAGGAGGAGGGAGAGGAGGAGGAGGAGGAGGAGGAGGAGGAGGAGGAGGACGAGGAGGAGGAGGAGGAGGAGGAGGAGGAGGAGTAGGATGAACGTGCGGATGCTCCATCGGGGCCTGTCGCCGATCGCTCGGTGATGTACTCGCCGATGCCCGGTCGATGTTTCCCTCCCTGAGCCAGTTGCCCCCCCTACAGTCGGCGCGGATTAGCAGGTCGACCCTGCCAGCTCAGGGGTACCCTTGTGTCCTGCGCCTCGCGACACGTGCCTTCTCACACTCCTATGGCGATGTGGTCCGCAGAAGGGTCTTGTGTCCTCGGAAGGGTCCTGTCCAATCAAGGCCGACTCCATCGTTGCCCCTCACGCGAGGGAGAGCTGGCATACGCATGCAGTCGGCCGCCGGTCCTGGCCCACCACGCTTCGGCGTGGCATGCTTCAGGCGGGGAAAAACACACAGACACAATTAGTCTTCGATTCCCCAGAAAATATGGGAAAATACGGGAGGTGGGGGGGAAGACAAAAAGCCAGAACATATAGGAAAAAATTGGGAATCCTGTTGTTTGTGTCTATTTATTTGTGTGTCCCAGGGCCCCTGGAATGCTGTCCACTTCCCAGTCCGACTGCTAGCGTCGACGTCCCGAGCCTCGCCGAGCTTCCCGCCCCGCGGAACGGAGCGGCACGCTGTCCGTTTGCACGTGGGCAGCGTGTCGCCGGGGCCGCCGCCGCGACCAGCTGAGCAACAGTTTGCGACCGTAAGTTTTTTCGGAGCCGTGGAGGTAGGGCCCAGTGCCGATCCAAGGCATCCGCTCGGAGCTCTCGGAGTTTACGCTTGTGTTAAGTCGGGCATGTCCCCGAAGGAGGAATGTTCAAACATAGTCAAAAAATTATCTGGGGACGATTTTTGGACTACTTTTGACGATTTTTGAGTGTTCGTTGACTATTTCTCATGTTTCTTCCAACATCCGCCTGTGGGCCCGACCTAGTGCCGGCGTTTGTTTCTCTAGAGGCGGCCCTGGGCGTCCGCGGCAGCGCCTCGGCGCTGAACCTCAAGGAGGTGCCCTCCGGCGAAGCTGCTGCGGCCGTCCCCAGGGGCCGGCGGCGCGGCGAGCTGTGGGAGGCAGACGGGGGTCGGGGGCAACTCTGGGGGGGGGATAAGCTCAGGGGGGAAGTTTCGGGCACGATTCAGGCGATCGCAAACATGGATCAAGGGGGCGGGGATTGGCGACGGGTCCCGTTTCCATGGAAACCCGCGGATGTCCGCCGCCGAACGAGGCGACACCAGCCGCATTTTGGGGAGGGCACCTCCCCCGATCCATGGATCTGGTGATCGCGCGCCAAATCCGTGGATCGCTAATCCATGTGTGCGCGCTCCCGAACGATGTTCGAGGGTTTCGCACGTCTTCGTCGGTTCTCGGCGGCTAGCATTAGGTCGAGCTTGTCCTTCTACAGGGGGAATATTCAAAGATAGTCAACAAAATAGTATGGGGACTATTTTTTGAGTATCTTTTGGGCATATTTGGAGCATTTTTGAATATTTTTTTCTGGTCGACATCGGCCTGTAGGGGGACAGGCCCGACTTGAGGCTCGCAAGCTTCTGGGTGCTCGGCAGCGGCTGCGCCTCGCCGAGAGCGGTCCGGGGCTGCCCAGGTCGACCCGGAGGGCCGCCGGAGGGCCGAGCCCCGACCCGGAAGCCGAGGGGGGCAAGTTTCCTCCTCCTCCTCCCTCCCTCCTCCTGCTCCTCCTCCTCCTCCTCCTCCTCCTCCTCCTCCTCCTGCTCTCCTCCTCCTCCTCCTCCTCCTCCTCCTCCTCCTCCTCCTCCTCCTCCTCCTCCTCCTCCTGGCTCCTCCTCCTCCTCATCCCAAGAGGACATGTCGAGCACTCGAAGGAAGATGTCGAGGCAGTATCGAGAGACCATCGCTTCCCAGGGCCCAGCACGTGATCACCCTCCAGTTTCGGTGCTGCCTTGGTGCTCGAAGTTCTTCCCGGTGGTCAAGGCCCTCGCAGGTTGGAACATCATCACGTTAGGGGAGGAACGTCTCAGAGGGGGGGACGCATCGACCCCCAATCGCCCACTCATCGCCGACAGGGGCCCGAATGGCCCACGCCCGCCGAGGAGCGTATGTGCGAATTCGCCATCGGAGGCCTGTCGCCGATTTCTCGTCGATGTAGTTGTCGCCGATTCCAGGTCGACGTTTCCTCCCCCTGAGCTGGTCCCCCCTTGACGTGCCCCTTCGGGAAGGGGAACGCAGACCTCCAGCGGACTGAACACACAGTGGCGGCATTTTTTCTTCCCAACCATCTTGTGGTGTTGGGTCCTCGTTTTGAAGAGACGGCGCCCCGCGTCTCCTTCCTTCCCTCCTGCTGCCCTCCCCCTCCTCCCATCCCTGCCGCTGCCCTCTGCATCCCAATCTTGGCACACTCCTCAAAGGTTTCGTGGCCCCATAGAGAGCTCCACCCAAGGCCCCAGTGGCACAGTCCGCATGCGTTCCCTTGCCCACTTCGGCACACCCCTCAAACGTTTCGTGATCCCATAGGGAGCCCCACCCAAGGCCCAAGGGGCACATTCCGCAAGGGTCCCCCGCCCATTTCGGCACACCCCTCACACGCTTCGCGGCCCCATAGGGAGCTCCACCCAAGGCACCAGTGGCACAGTCCGCATGCGCTCCCCTGCGCATTTCGGCACACCCCTCACACGTTTTCGCGGCCCCATAGGAAGTTCCTCCCAAGGCCCCAGAGGCTAAGTCTGCATGCGTTCCCCCGCCCATTTCGGCACACTTCTCTTACGTTTCGTGGCCCCATAGAGAACCCCCCTACTTCGTCCCACCTGCCTTGCGGTACTCACACTTGCATGTGTCTGGGTCATTTCGACAGGAATACAGATTCCCCAATCAGTGCTTGCACTTAGGGATTCTGATTTCTTTTCTAAGGAACTTGGCTTGTTTGTCGGTCTGGCGTCTATGTTGTGACTGTCGCCGCCCCGTCGCCGCCTCTTCGCCGCCCGTACCTGGGCCTGTTTGTTCGTCTGGCGGCTATGTTGTGGCCGTCGCCGCCCCGTCGTCGCCTCGTCGCCGCCCGTCGTCTGAGTCTGTCTGTCGGTCTGGCGGCTATGTTGTCGTCGTCGCCGCCCCGTCGCCGCCTCTTCGCTGCCCGTCGTCTGGGCCTGTCTTTCGATCTGGTGGCTATGTTGTCGCCGTCGCCGCCCCGTCGCCGCCCTGACTGCACCACGTAGGTTACAATTTCCAAACAGAAATTAGAATCTACCCCCGCAGATTATCCCTTCCCCTTGGCATCGTACACTTTGCTTCATCTTAAATATGAATGCGTACCGTTCCAGCCGAACCAGTATTGCCGGATCCTTCATCCTTGTCAACTAGTTCTATGTGTGCACATTCGTGCATCACTCACAAATCACCGGATTCCAAGAGTCCCTTGCAGCAGGCCGGGCAACGTCCACGCGCGCGTCGCCGCGCGCGCGTGCCATAAATCTACAACAGCCATCGGTTCCGTGAGGATTTCACGATCGACGCTCCCAAACACTTATGAAGCAACCCATGGTTTCGTAACAGGGTTGTTCCAGCACTTTCATTGCATTCGACCATCGGGGCTCTCCCGCGCGTGTGTCGCCATCATTCGACCGCCTTGGCGCGCTTGCTGGGCGGGCACGATGCCTGTCACATACCACCATGCTGGCCACTCGTGCCCGTCGGCCGCGCGCGCGTGCCGAAGTCTTTTTCGAAACCTTCACCACCGACGTGTGAACACCGTCGTCGTCATCGGCGTGATCAGCATCGGCGCCGTCATGGGCCCTGCCGTCGTCGTCGCCATCGTCGCCGCCAGCATCGCTGCTTCCATGACCGTAGCTGCCGTTGTCGACGTCGCCCCGGTGCCGCGCCCGCCCGAGTCACCGACTCCCACTGGAGTGCCAGCGCGTCGACGCCACCAGCGGTCAGCGCCACGGCGGCCGCGTCGGTCGCGCCAGGCTCTCTGGCCGCTCTGCGCGCGAGCCTTCGCGTGCCAGCGCGGCTGCAGCGATGTGCCAGCCAGTGCCAAGCATCCATCGCAATCGTCGCCGCATGGGTTTTGCAAACCAAGTTGCCGGTAGGTGGGTGGGATGATTGTGCGAGCAGTGGAGACGACAATTCATTGCGAACGGGAAACAATTGTACCACATCGATTCTCTTCTCCCGACTTAGCGGAGTGCAGTTTGCATATATTTCTGCCCCATTGCCCACCCAAAGTATGAGCTCTCGCACCATCCCAGGCAGGCCGGAATTCGGTCCCTCCCTCATCTTCTGCAACATATATTCTGCGCGCGCAATCGTTCATCGAATTTCATCAGTTTTCAAAAAATCCCTTGGAAACAAAGAAACGAAGTGCACGCACGCGCGTCGTCGCACGCGCATGCCAAAATCCTTCAAAAACGAATGCCCGAAAACATATAAATAACACAAGGTTTCGAAATCAGGGTTTTCAAAATAAGCCTGCGCCTGCGCTTTTGAGAATTCTTTAGAAATGCCATATGGTTTTCAATCTTGCGAAGGCCTTGCGGCCGGTGCCGCCGACCCTGAATGACGACGACGACGACGACGACGACGACGACGACGACGACGACGACGACGACGACGACGACGACGACGACGACGACGACGACGACGACGACGACGACGACGACGACGACGACGACGACGACGACGACGACGACGACGACGACGACTCTCTCGGGGGCCTCTTGGGGGTGGTTTGGGGGCCTCTTAGGAAGCTCTTGAGGGCCGCTTGGGGGCCTCTTAGGGCTTCCGTGGGGTCGCGGACCGTCTTGGGAGCATTTTAGAGCAGTTTAGCTGCGTCCTGGGGGGAGTCGTATCTGCCCTGGGATCCCCAGGACCACTCCCCTGGACACCCCTGGAACCCCCCCCCCGGGACCCCCCCCGGGACCTCCCCTGGGACCCCACCTCCGGGACCCTCCCCCCCCCGGCGGGGAAGGGGTCAATGGAAGGGGCTTCCCTTCGACTCAATTACAACGTTGCTCAATTTCGCTGTGGCTGGCGCGCTCGAGGAGGAGAACCCGGTGAAAGTGGGGGAGCGGCGACGGGCTTCGGGAAAGGGGGGAAGCGAGCGGCGAAGGCGACGACGACAACGACCACGACGGCGACGACGACGACGAGTCAAACGGAACAGCCTCTTCCGCACGCCGACAGGGTCGGCGGATTTCCATAACGTGCTACCAAGCGGGCCTCTCGCGCGCGCATGTCGAAATTGTTCGAAGGCCCTTGCGCACGTGCTGTCGCAAGAATCCCTGGCGACACATGGGACGAAGTGCTCGCGCGCGTGCGTCGTCGCGCGCATGCCAGATTCCTTCAACAACTTTCGGTTTCGCAAGGATTTCAGAAAGGAGTGCCTCGAAAACATATTACAGCACATGTTTTCGCAGCAAGGGTTTTCAAGCCAATCCGGTGCTCGCTGTCTTGCGGCTTCTGAAGGGCTCCATCCAATTCTGCCAAGCAGGCCTCTCGCGCCGCGTGTCTAAATCGTTCGAACGCTCTTGGGCGCGTGCTGGGTGGGGTGGTGGGGTGGGGTGGTGGGGGGGCGAGATCCGTGTCACATATTTTCGCGCGGGCCACTCGCGCGCGTCGGCCGCGCGTGCGCGTCAAACTCCACCGAACACCTTCATCGCCGTCGCGAGGACATCGTCATCGTTATCGGCGGGCGTGATTAATGTCGGTGCCGTCATCGGCCTTGCCGTCGTCATCGCCATCATCGTCACGGTCATCGCTACTTTCATGATCGTGTTCGCCGTTGTCGGCGTAGCCATGATACGGGGCCCGCCCGAGCCACTGGCTCGCACTGAAGTGCCCGCTGGGAAGTGAAGTGCCCAGCGGTCAGCGCCACTGCGGCCGCGTCGGTCGCGCCGAACTGGGCTGGCCGTAGTGTGCGCCAGCATGCGCGGGCTGGCGTGGCCGCAGAGATGCACCAGCCAACGCCGAGGACTCATCGCAGTCGCCGCTGCGTGGTTTTTGCAAACCAAATTGCGGGTAGGTGGGTGGGATGTTTGCGTGAAATGTGCCAACTCGCTTGGAAAAAAAACCAACTGCGCCGCGTGGATTGCGCCGCAGAGGTTGC